GAAATTTAAGGACGCTAATTTACTTAAAATGTATACACCCCGGCTTATCATGTAGCGGTAGCTTTCGGAAAGGTGGAAAACATATATTTAATACTTGCGCCGGGTATTTAATGTTCGGCTCCGCCCGAACTTAGACTTTCTTAATTGTTTAAGATGTTATTATTTTAAATCAGTACAAACTGTAACTAAAATGTGAAAAAATTAAGAAAATGTTCTTATCGCGTAACAGTAAAAGAGTTTGTATGTCTGCGAATATCTATGTACTTAAATATTAAAAAAACAACAGTTTAAAGGAATATGCATAAATTCATATCCTCTTTTGGTATATCCCCCTCCACCACTTCACACTTACCTTGCATTATTACCGGCCAACGGCTGTTCCAGCTCACTCTTTGTCACCACGCTAATGGAGCGTGCCATACGTCGCGGCTTTGCTGTGCCCTCTTTATAGCCAAGATTCTCCATTTTTTTTCCTTTGTTTTTATTGTAGTTGTGCTCAATGGCTATTTGTTGTTTAACAATTCACGAAATGCGGTGATTTTTATAAAACTTTATTTCGCTTTTGTTCTGGTTCGTTGCTGCTTCTTGGAAATTCATTCAGTTTTTTTGTTTGTTTGTTGTTTTCGTATCTGTTTAAAAATTATTTTATTAATGATATTGTTTTGTTTTCATTGGTAAATAAATTAAATATTAATTGTTTTAGTATTGAATGCGTTTTTGTTTTCCTTTTTTTTTTGCGTCTGATGCTTAAGGTTTTTTGCCAGTGATTTTGGTAGCAACTATCGGTGGAGGATTACAAATATTTACACGGACTGTTAATTAAAAACCAAGTCAAAGTTGTCGCTTTGCTACCGACTATTCAGAAATTTAAACTTTAGTTTAGTTAATGACATGAATTTCTTTCTTTCATTGACATTAAAAAAATTTGTGATATTCCAAACTTATCGCGGAATTTAGGTAGGTAACGTGAACGTATTAAAGTAGCCGACCTGCAAATCTATAATAAAACTAAATTTTTTTTGAAGCAGAAACGCTAATACATACTATACTACTTATATTATTTTCGAAGTATTTTAGTGAGCTGACTCCAAATCTCATGCATTTTCTTCCATACAAATAAAGAACCAGGGGGAATTCCTAGCCACTTGAAACGTGCACTTTATTAAGCTAGAATTTCATGGACTATAAACCTGCATACCAATAATTTTCCTACAAATCTATACATATAATAAAATTGTGACAGGCCGATGTCTTTACATTATACATTTTAAAGAAAAATTAATATGGATGGTCGTTATTAGAGCAACAGAAGCAAATCAGAATTTTTTTAGAATTTTTGTATGTCTGTCTGTCTGTATGTTTGTACGCGCATCACTCGAAAACTAGTGCATGGAATTTAATGCAGTTTTCAGCAATGTATTGCTGGAGGAGGTTTAACTTAAAGTATAGAAAGAAAAAAATTTCAGAGTTGCCACTTTGTTTGAAAATTGCAGTTTAAGTAAATTGATAAATAAAGTAAATATTGCAAAATGGCTGTCAAAAGAAGAAGGTTTAAGTGGGCATACAGCCGAAAATAATTTTGTGCAGATTGCCACATGTTTAAAAATTTGAATTCAATTTTTAAGAAGATAAATTAAATATGTACTGCAATATGGGTATCAAACTGAAGATGGTTAGGAAAGTTTATTGCCGAAAACATTTTTGATGAGGGCTGCCACCTGTTTGAAAAATTTGATTTAATTAAATTGATGAAATAAATGAAATATTGCAATATGGGTATTAAGCAACACAAAAATACTTTTAAGGTGCAGTGAAGCACGCCGGGTATTTGCTAGTTCTCAATAAAAAGTTTGTTTTTGTAATTTTTGTTGAACTTTTAACATTTTTCTACAAAGTTTAAAATTTGGACTTACATATTTGGGTTTTCTTAGATAATAAGCTGTATTAAAAAAAAAATAATAGAAATTAAACAAACAAAATAGAATTAACCAAAACTCTTCGAAATGTCGTGTCCATATTATTTTTCACGTTGGTCGCTATATATACATATATTTTGAAAACCATTCACCCCTTATTTAAATCCCTCATTTAGGGGCTGATGGTATCATAATAAATTTGTTCTTAATCTACATTAAATCTAAATGAAATTTTGTTTTATCAGTACCATGTTTTGTCTTTGTTTGGTATTTTTCTAAAGGTGATTTGTCCAGATTTTATACGGAAGTGAAGCACTGTCTTTCTGTTCCAGTTAATAAATGCTATTTCCCTTTTAGCATACAGATGTGGTCGATGTGTTAGCAAAAAAAAAAAAAATAAATAAACGCGAACTCTTCCCACTTGCAACTTGCACTTTATCATATTAAAGTTGAATGACTATGATACCCCAAATGTGTGTTAAAAACAAAAAAAAAAACAGTTTTATACAACATTTCAAGTTTTTTGTGAATTTTTTATGTTTTGGGGAAATGCTACATTTGTTTTCAACTAGCTTTTACTATGTAACATTTATTAACTGGAACAGGGGTTTTCTTCAAAATTGCTGCTTTTTCTGCACTTTGCAATAAAAAGTTTAATATAATAAAATAAAAATTAAAAAACTTAACTGGTCTCTTGCTAATTTTATAAGCTTTCACTAAAACAATTTAATGCTTGCGTTGCTTGAAAAATGAAGGAGCCACTGAATTATGAAAACCATTCACCAGTTTTGAATCACTGTGCACTGTCGTCGCCCCTCTCATTGCCCTCTACACTTTTATGTCTTTGGACCCAACAAAAGTGTACATTTTTTAGTCCTTTTCACAACCTCTTAGCATTGGCTATAGCCTGTTCTGCTTGAACTATACTTACATACATACATATCACAGTTTTTATCGATTCGTAGAGCCTTAAAACTTTTAGGTATTTCTGTCCTCTAAAGTATAAGTTATTAACTTATTTCATTATAAAATACATACATACTTATAGTACATATTATTCAGATGTATCAAATTATTTGTTTGAGATGGACCAAGTTTTTTTGCGGAAATTTTCTAAATTCTGACCCATCTAACAAAAGGTTACTCATACGCCTAGTATGCCTATTTCTGCTGCAGCTATGTTTAAATGCATTTATTGCGAGTCATAAATACTACATACAGTTAGCTTTTAAAAGTGTTTGTTTGGTAACAATTTTTTTTAGTTCAGAAATAAAAATTTCAAAAATAGAAAAGTATTTTTTACAATTGCCAATTTTAATTGTCTACATTCAAATTAATTGTGCCTTATGTAAGTACATATGTTTGTATGTATGTATGTACGTAGTATGAATTGGAATTTCTAGGAATTCCGAAGCTTTCCATTACTGAATTGGCTATCGATTTACACCTAAGCCATCAGCTATTCAACGCCTCAAATTTAATAAACAGCATAAACAAATAAATTTATAAACAACCATCAGCTGTGTACATATTTTCATAACAACCTATACGCGTATGTACGTACTTACGCGTATGCATATTTTGCATATATGTATATACATACATATGGACATATGAATGCTGTTTACATAATTAAATCTGCACAAAGTAAAAAAAAAAAACAAAAAAAAAAAAACAAACGTTTGCAACGATCAGCGGATCATATTACCTACTAGCATGTGTTTGTCAATCTCGTTTGGCTATAAATATGTACTACATACATATGTATGTTTGTACGTGCATTACGTACTTGACATGCGGCGTCGCTCAAATACGCCGCAAGTGCTAAGTTTTTTATGGTATTTTCACGCTCTTTTCTCATACTCGGTATGTATGTATATTATTTCTTCTAATAATTTTTACGACTTCGTGCCTTCAACACTTATTTAGCAGGTAATTCTGCTCGAGGAGTTTAATGGCCTTTTTAGAGCTGCTGGCTGTCCGACACTTGCCTTCGG